CTCTAATCCTCTTCACCTATTGGCCAAATTATTCCTCTCCTCATTCCAATCAACTTCATTTCTACTGTATTTAGATCTAAGCTCTTCAATCAACTTTCATTATAGAAGTTACGAGTGTTCAAATTTTTTCTTTATCATGAATTGTTATATCAAAATCTATCACTATTTTTGTCAAATATAATGTCTCTACTATCAAATAAACACTAAAAAAAGTTACCAAGAAAAAAATTGGATAAAAAATCAACTTCTAACAATTTTTAATATTTTTTACAGAATTGGATGAATAGTAAAATATAAAAACACATTAAAATAGATACAAGAAAATCAAGATATGTAGAGTGAATATGAAAAGCAAAATGTAACCACGTTTTCAATTTCAATAATACAGCGGATATATAAAACACTTATTCAATGATATATATAGACTCACTTGGACGTACTAAAACTTTAATCTGGTTGAGGAAAAACATCACGCATCACGAAACAATCAGCCCCCAACTTAGACTACAAAAACGGCCTCCAAAATGTCCAAAAACACCACCCAGTTGCAGAAAAATAAAGAAAATAAGAAAGAAAAATCATGATCAAGAAAAAAGGTAAAATTATAATTTAAACAGTTTTACAGAAAATTCCAAAACCATTTGAATAGAATGACCAAGCCCATTGAAAAGATCATTGCGGTTGTCTTTTACATTTAGAGGTTAGAGATAGAAAGGAATTTTCCATCATGTGGTGTTGCCAAGGAACATATTCCTTCCTTATCAGATGGGATTAATATGTGGTCTATTGGATGACAGCAAAGTGAGATATTTGTTTTTATACAATTACAACAAGAGAAAATGGATAAAGCAACCAAATCCTTTTATACAAAACTAGATACAACAACAGGAAAAAGAAAGAAAGACACCATTTTAAACAGGCATCATTGGACAGAAACAAAGCAAAGACACAATAACATACCCTACTAATCTAACAAGACAAGACGCAAATCATAGAGGTGAATCTACTCGGAGGATACTAAAGAGTCTAAAAAGGTGGCCAAATACTCCCACAACTCATGCCATCGCTCATAACTACGTTCACATTGTTCATGTCGTTGAAATTCATGTCCAAGTTTCCAAGGTCTGAATTCTGTACACAAACTGTGGCATCGTTGTATGAGCCATCATTTCCATGCACAGTGATGGTTGGCGAAACATGCGCCATGCGGCGGAGATTGGTCGTATTCAGTGGCGGGGGTGTGTTCACTTGACACTGTGTGGGAAGAAGCTGATTGTTTAACGTAGTGAAAGAGCCTCTAGTCACCATGTCCTCTGCTAACTTCACCTACAAGTGTACAAAGATGTCAGATTCTATTAGCATATTTTCCTTCAACCTTGAATGAAAAAACTATAGGTTATTATTAAGCTTTCGTCAACCTAATAATACCTTAGCTCTCAAAGCTTCTACGTCTGATTTCAGAACCCGGTTATACGTGTCAGCCTCAAAAAAATGTTAACTAGCATCATTGAACTGCTTGTATAGGGTTGCGTTTTCCACTTTCAGTTTTTCAACCTGTCAAAACAAAATTAATATTGATATGGGAATTTTCACATCATTACTACTTTTCCCTTGTTAAAGACTTATCAAATACCTGCAACTCTAGGTCAGCCAACTGCGCCTGTTTTCTTCTTCTTGACCTTCTGGCAGAATTGCGATTAGAAACCTTCCTAAAATTACAACGAAATTTAGAATCTCAGTGAGGCTTAAAATCATCGAAGATACTATTTAAGATGATTTTTTCCATTGACACTTAGAATGGAGGGGAAAAAGTATGATCGGTTATACTTTTTAAATAAAATTCCATTTATTTATTTTCTTCTCTGGTGAGGACTTTCATCTAAATAAAGTGTAGTTTTCATAATTTGACTTACCTTCTAAGACGTTTCAATTCAACTGAATTTGTGCTCTGTTCACAAGGACCATCTTCATCAGATGGCTCAGAAGAACCACTTGTGGCTCCTTTCGTATGATTCTTCCAGCCCTCTGGTTTATTAGCTGACACTGGACTACCAACTGCCCAGTTTTTAATTCAATCCAAAATGTTAAATTCCATAATTAAATGATAATTTGGTGAGGAATAAGAGACATAGAATAATGAATGCAATAATTTATACAACATTTTTTTTGTGTGCAGTTCTGCCTATAATTATGATATCTGATGAATGATATACAATAGAGATAAACAAACAAATGTTGTAAACATAATATTACTTATATATTGAGTTAAGGATTAAACATATATATATATATATATATATATATATATTATAGTGCTCATACCATTAGCAGTGCCACAAATGGAAGACCGAGAATCGATTGTAGCAGTGATGGTGGAATGCTTGGGAGTGAGGTTTTGGGAAGAAAAAGGATCTGTCAGTCCACAAGTGAAAATGAAGTCATGGCATCCTGCAATATTACAGACGAGTATGGTTAAGCTAGCTGAATTTTCGTACATCATTTTAGCCACTAAAACTATCTTTTTCCCTTTTTTATCACAATGTCCTTGCAGACTCTTTTTTTTTTATTCTTTTTCTTCTTTACATGCAAAACAGCAATGGAGCACATGCACCAAAAATAAGCCACAGGGAAATAACAAAGCAATATTCAATAATTCACAAGTTCAAACCGGGTCCACTGAGATAGAGGCAATAATATCAAAGCTTTATTAAAAAAAATCATTGTACTCGTGCTTTTGAAGAAAATAGTGACGCCATTCTATTAATAAAAAGGAGAAAGTGTTTCATTTAATTATTAGTGATTTTTTAGTTTAATGCTTTTGGAATTTGTAAACAGGTTTAATTTATTAAATTTAAATTAATTTTCTTTCCTCAGGATAAATTTCATAGAATTGAAAAAAATAATTCAAACATAATTTTTTCAATGCATTTATTTAAAATTGACAATTTCCACTATATAAGAACAGCAATTAAATATTCAACCTTGAAATTCTGTTCCTAACCTTTAGATCTAATATAGACTCTAAAATATAGGGTTAGTTTTTCAAATTAGGTCGACACAACACTTTAACTTTTGTACTTGCTACTCAACTTAGTTGGGTTTTAATCGAACAAAACTTGACGAATTCCTCCAATTGCTCCATGAACCAAGGATCATTATAGACTTAATTGAGTTTTACTCCGACAAATTGAAATTTTGTTTAAAACTTAAAATAATTAAATAGCTGAATTAGGTAAGGGTCGTTGACTAAAAACCCAACTTCCTAAACATTTTTAATTAATTTTTATGCAAAGGGACGGTAACTGTTTATTTTATGTATAGCATATTTTTGTATATATAATTTCTTGTTTAATGGTTCTATTATGTTATCAATTTAAAATCATTACATAATAAAATAATGTATCATACCAGGGTCAAACATTTTTACTTAACATATTTCTTTAGTACATATATTGAAATGTAGAATTTTTTTTTTTGCAAGGATATATCCATCAAAATAGAAACATATGAAGCTTATACACCAACCAAACATAGAGTAATTGATCGTGTTATTCCTATTGACTATTCACAAAAAAAATAACTTTACCACTGACTCGTAACCCAAGGATTTCAATTCTTTAGAATTAGTGATTGTGAAATACTTCATGGCGCGATGCGCAAATTTAGGCCAATGGTAGAAGCTTTTAATCATTGAATAAGTTGATATCATCGTATTGATATTAAATAATGAAAAAAAGTTTCCAGAAAAAAAGAGAGTTGAGAAGCTATTGCAAACATCTAAAAGGTTTAGCATATAATTTTAATGTAATATTTGTACATATATACGCAACGCATAATGAAGAAACAAAAAGTTAAGAAAGAAAAGCAAGGGTTTTTCTTTACGTAATTGTAAAACATTATTCATCAACCGAACAATTTTCCTGACAGTCCACTTGAATAGACAACAAATATTTAAAAAACTAGGCATATATTAATTTTAAACCATGAAACTACCTACCGCATTTGGATTACAAACAGTTTGTGTTATTGCTGTTGTTGCTTTCTCACTTTTATGGTAATTTGTTTTTGGTAATTGCCTCGTACTTTATAGAAAGCTTTTCCACAGTGTTTTTGTTAATCTGCTGGCGGAGGTAAAACTACTAGAAAAAACAACAGAACTACATTATCTTATAATAAATAATACTTTCAATAATTTTCATACAGTAATTGTTTATTCTTAGTTACACTCTCTTAAGTAAAAACTATTATACAAATACAATCACGCACGAAACAATATTACCCAATAATAATAGAATTTTTTTATTGATTACTTGAGAAAGTGTGGCCGCTCTATGTAACCACTAATCATTGAAGTGAGCTACAACTCTATATAATAGGTTAAAACATACAACTTTTCAATATTTTGCTATTTTTAAAATGTTCATGAAAATATAATTGACAAGCAAAAGAACAGATACAAATTATTTTCAAAATTCTAATTATCAATTAAAATTTGCCTCATATGATACACGATTAGACAGGTGAAATTATTGTTACAAAATAAATTATAATGACCCAGTGGCAAAGAGACACGATTGGCTTGCGAAACTGTGGACGCACAAGCGCAGTTGCAAATGAAAGAACACCATGGGAGTGGACCATTCCATAGGAAGAAGACAAAAAACAAATTAAAAAAGAAGAGCATATGTAGATTTCTCAAAGTCCTGCGTTCACACAAGTTTCATCACAAAACCCAAGAACGAAGCAGTCCACATCACCATGTCTTCTCCACGACACCTTCACTCCTCCACCCTTCACTCTACGCACTCATACCTCTCACGGTTTTTTTTTCTTTTCTTTTTTGGAGAAAGTAACTTTCTTCACCTTCAAAATCACTTCCAATAATTAGTGCCAGCCACAACACTATTTCTCTAAACATCTTTAGAAATATTTCTCTTATTATATATCTTCTTTCTATAAGTATAGCATTTTGTTCATACTAAATCACTCTTCTCCTAAAGATTTCTACGCTGACAAACTATAATGAATTGAACTACAAGACAAATTTAATTAAATAAATCTCGATCACAATACAAGTCTTGCCTAAAACAGAAACGCATAATTATTATTATTTTGTTTTTATGGAATCGGTTACTCTTTCTGTTATTACTGTTAAGGAAGCGTTAGGCGCACGCGGATTACGTTCTAGGGAGAACCGTAATAGGTTTTCAGTTTGCCACGGCAAAAGATGGCTCGAAGGCGTTTTCAGTTTCAGAATTGAGTGTGAAAGAGAAAGAGAAGACTGACCGGTAATAGATTTTGGAAAGCGGCGAAGACATCGGTTCCGGCGAGGTTCAGATACCGGAGCTCGTCGAGATTAGGAAAGTCGTTATCGAGATCGGACTCCGTGGTCGTCATCCGCTTGAAGCAGCCGTGGCCGGAGAAAACCGACGACGGCGTGAGAGATTGTTGAGACGCAGCCAGAACGTGGCCGGAGAGAGAGCGTTAACAGTAGGAGAGAGAATTAGGAGGGAAAAGGGAATGAGAGTAGCAGCTTCAGGGGTATAAATAGAAAACCAATGCGCATAAACAAATAAACTTTTATTAAAAAAATAAGAAAGAAAGAAAGATCGGGCGGCACTTGACATTGAAACAAACCAGAAAGTTTTTTTGGTCATTGAAATCACGAAAGTGACCTGATCCGTCACGTATAATTACGTGTCCGACCGTGACTGGGATTTTTCTAGAATCAAATCTGAACACGTTATCTTGAATCAGAAGCCCTCATATTGACACGTGGCAAAGTGAAAATTACACGTGGACTAACTTCTATTTCTCCTTTGTACAATGCCTTTAGAATTGGGTCCCCCTTCAGGATTATAATATTATGTTAAAAACAATTAAAATATGATTATAAATTCATTAATTTTGTCGTCGATATACTTTTCTCTTGCAATATTAATATTATAAATATTATTTTCAACTGTTTAAAGAAATCATGGTATTTATAAAACTATTATATATTCCATTTTTATAAAATTAATTAAAATACATGCTGAAAATAGTTTTGAACAGAGGTGGAATAAAGGGCATAGGGTAGAGTAGGGTAGGGGAGGAATAGTTTTGTAAAGAATAATAATGGCACGCTTTGGATGTTGTTCTGTTTCACATTATATATAAGTAAGAAATTCTTAAATAAATTAATGGTTACGTCATATCTTTTGATAAAGTATTTTCATAATAATATATAGAAATAAGTGTAGTTTTTATTTTATTTTAAAAATAAATAATATAAAATAAGAATAATTTATTTTGGATGTTTGATTAAGTAATAATGAAAAGTTTGTAGTTTTGTAGAATTATGGATAACTTGTTGAGGGCGGTTTGACTTTGATGAGCAACAAGTGGCGAGGGAATTTCATTCTGTGAAAATGGCGAAGGAGAAAGTGTTATGTTATTTGCACCTACTCTTGTCCAAACAGAGAGTAGAAAGGGAAATGCACCACACTACTCGTCATTAAAATATATATATCTATATATATATATATATATATATATATATATATATATATATGAAGTATGAAAAGTTAAATATGTGGTAAACCAACTTTTCTAAAGTTAATATGCATATTGTAAAACCTTATTTTCAATTGTTATGAAATAATAATTTTGTTTACGTTAGATGAAATAGTAAAGTCAATACGAAAACTTTCATATATATATATATATAATATATATATATATATATATATATAAAGATGAAATCGCAATCTGTAAAAGCACCGCGATCATAAGTTTGTTTTTTGTTTCTTGAATGTGAAAATAATTATAAACGGGTCTATTCATAAAGCACATAATAATGAAGGAGTTGGTGTGATCTATTACGGAATGAGAACATCTAAACAATATTTACCACAGTTGGCAGTCACAATCTTAACCAAAAAAAGTTCACATTCTCGTGTGCAAAAGTACAAATCAAACCAAAGCAGAAACCCAAAATATCCTTTCAAAATTCTAACATTTTTGTATGGTTAATTTTTATATACACAATTGGATTTAGAGAAGAGAAGGTTAATTCGAAAGATACAACACCATTAGACATGAATTAATATTTAAATTTTTAACCAATTAGACATAAATTTATATACATATAAAATACTTTCTTCCTAAAAGGTTTTTTTGAGATAGTATTAATAATAAATTCGTAAACCTTAATCTAGAATAAATAATATCTCATGTGCAAGCAAATTCATGTGTTTTGAACTTTAAGACATAGATAAAATGTGAGTGGGAGTAAAAGAATTGAAGGAGGCAATGGAATTGCGGTGGGAAAACGAAGAAGAAAAAGGCAGTGCGACTTTACTTTTGAAAAGCATTAAAAGAACAGTTGTGTTGTGTGGTTGACGTGACTCAGGCATAAGTAGAAAGGAAAATGGCATTGGCAAATAGAAAGTAGTAAAAAAAGGAAGGGGGTGCGTTAAGTAATTTAAAAAGTGGGTTTCTTAAGTGTGAAGGTGTTGTTAAAGTAATGGAGTTTGATTGGGACAAGCACCGACCCAAAGCAAAAAGTTAGGAAGATAGTAACATAGATGCTTTATGGATGGTGTTAGAAAAGTAGGTTAAGTTAACCCTCACTTCAAAGGAAACCTTACAGCTACCTATTTATTTTTTTTATTTCTTACTTACTTTTTTATGCATTATTATTTAATTCAAAAAATGGATCACCCACTCACCTTGTTCACACGTTAAAACCAAATCATCTCCGAATACTTTGTTTGTGCAATGTTGTTGTTGTATGTGATGGAGACAAATGAGAGAGTAATGAGATTGCATTTTGCACTTGTTGCTTTTTCCTTGTCATGTTCATATTTTTACGTTTATAACAATTATTCTTAGCATCTTCGACCATGCTTCTTTGTTCTGTCTCTTCTTCAGATATGGCACCTCATACCTCTGCTGTGTAACTTCTGCTTTCCATTGGCCCAGCTTTAATCACACCACCATTGCATTCGTTTTCTTTTTTGTTTCCAGATCATGGATACTTTTCTAACAATATATTTATGACTCTTATTAATTACTAATATTTGTTAAATTATTCTAAAACATATTATTTTTTATAGATATTAAAGTTAATATATTTTAAAAACTAAAAACATAAAAATTTCAATAGAGAAGTGTAAGTTAAATATATTTTTAATCTTAAATTTTTATATAAAATCAAAGTTTATATATGTCTTAAATTTTAACATGATTTCAAACTTTAATGAATAAATATACTTTTTATAATTTAATTGAATTAATTTTTTTATGTATTTATAATTTAATCGAGTTAAATTATTTTTTACATATCAGGTGTTTTAAATTTACGTTTGAATTCTGTATATCTATTATTAAATTTTAACTTAAATATCATGGTGTAACACATTTAACAAATAAAAATAATTAACAGTTAAATTAAAATATTATATTTATTTATTTTAAATGTTTGAAAACTAAAATATATTAAAGTTTAAAATATAAACAAATTTTAATTTTTGAATTAACTACGATTAATAAAAAAGAATATTAACTCAGTACTTTTTCATATCTATTTGTCGAAAAAGTTTATATGTTTTACGGATTTTTGGTGCCAAGAAAGAAACTCATCTTTCTTGTGCGCTTATTGGTATTGTTAATCTATTATTTATCTCTCAACAACAGTTATTTCAATGGATACAATGTGCAAAAGAAATTATGATGCAAAAAATTATTTATATAAATATTAATTAAATATTTATTAGCACATTCATCTTTCAAGGAATGTTTAAAATTATATTTGATAAATACCATTAAGTTAATCCAGCTACTTATTCTAACTAGTACTCATAATTGGAACACATAACCTTACCTAATGACAAAAAAAAATATAATTAAAAATAATTAAATATTATAATGTTTGTTAAAATAAAAATATTAGTAAAATCTACATTAAATAAAAAAAAACCAAGTGATTAAAAACGTGCATGTGGAAAAAGTCGTCAATTTTTTTATTGTTAATAGCTTATTTTTTTATAAATAAAAAGTAAATAAATGAATCATATTGATAAGAATAAAACGGTAGTTAAATATATATATATATATATATATATTAAAAAAGCAGCTGCACGAAGAAAGGTCTGCAAAATCATTATTTAACAATTGTTGAATCAGTAATAGGAAAAAGTATAAAACAATGAATTTAATGAGAAATTTATGTGAAATGTTTAAAAAAGATTAATTACTTTTAGTTATTATTTTTTTATGTAAGTTGGTGAGAGAAATGACTGATAAAGCTTGAAATATCTTAGAAGCTTCTGGACCTTCGTATGTGCACGTTATGGGTTTGGTGGAACACATACTTGTTCCACTCACAAAGATTTAAAAGCCCGATTATTTTATTCTCTTTTTTTTTCATAAAAATATCGCCTTTTGTAAAATTGTTTTAAAACTTTATGGGCTTTTTCAACTTTTAAGAAAAAAAATAAATATTTCAAATAATTTTTTAAATTTTCTTCAAAATAAATTTTAAGGTACCAGAACAATCTGTGTATCTTTTAAAATGCAATCTATATTTTTATAATTATAATAATTGTGTTTTCTTAAGAGCTTAAGATAACTGTTTTTTTAATGGTGCTGGTTCACTGTGTTTTGGACTTTATAGTTCATGAAATAATGATTCAAGTCAATGGAAGTTGTTGAAACCAAATCTTTTTACTTCTAAAATTAATGATATTTAGTTCAACACTTAATTTACTATTAAATTTTTAACAGCTTTGAAGAGACATGAGTTTTATTGATGTATCAATTATAAATTTCTCTATCAACCAAATTGTTATTATTAATTTTGTATGTTAGCTGGTTCAATAAATAAGATTCAAATATGAGATTTGGATGATACTTTAACCACCTTGAAATAAGAAAATATAAGATTTGAACCAATATATAATTTATAAATAGAAACATAATCTATTAACGTTTATAAGTTGATATGTACTTGATATTTATAAGCTTGAAAGGGTTATAAATATATATCTACATAATAGGAAGTATAATATATCCTATTATTACTTTTATTCACAATTTACTAGAACGTGGGAGACTCTTTACATATGGACTTTATTTTTATATGATTTGAAGTTTCTTCTTTCAAATCAAACCTAGAGACTCACAATAGATAAACTCTTAAATCATTTGAAATATGTATAATAAGTTTATTTATAGAGACACAAGCTAACAAAATCTTAATATTGTAATTATAAGATAATCTAAAGATAAAATATTATAAATTGTATACCTATTAAAAAATATAATGTATAGTGCATTTTTATCTTTGATTTTTCAGAGGCTATAATATTATCGCTCAACCATAACATTATCTTTCGCATGAAAAAAAGACCTTATCCTCAATTGTTGTCTTAGTATAAAGGTTAAATAAAAGATTTCTTAACTCCTAATTAACCTCTACGTCTAGGTTGTCAGTCAACTCAATCAAATTTTATATGAATTTTTATATAGATTTTAAGATAATGATACTTTAACAACATT